CTGTGTCACTACAAAAAACAATATAACTCATTCTTGTTTGTTTTTATTTTAAAGCAGATTCAGATCTGTCTTTTTAAAACTGTCAGTATTACCTTTTGCTCCTGCCTCACTAAATCCAAATTATATTATTATATAATTATATATATTATATTATTATTATAACTTTTTATTGGGCACGTATTGTGAGCACAGTCAGTCAGGTAATTTTATATAAAAATAATGTTGCTTTCATAAATACACAGTGTAGAATGGTCTTCCAGCAAACTGATGTGATTTCATAAACTTAGTTTTAATCTATTAAAAATACACGCGGCACTGATTTGTGGAAGCCGCCATGTTGGCCCACCATCTTGAAGTGGCTGAGATGGACGGGCGATGTTCCACCTACTTGAGTTTTATGTGTCTGGCTAGAGACTGTCCACAGACTGTCCACAGACTGTCCACAGACTGTCCACATACGTAGTACGGCAAAGATGGAGGAGAAGAGCTCGTAGGCATTTCTGTCCCATGGTGGCAAATTTTAAGTAGTGCCTCCACCATCAGACTCAGGATATGTAGGATGATGCTTCTGTTTAATCATCCGAGAACCCGTCCCCTTCATCAAAAAGTAAAACAACTCAACTGGGATCCGGATAAAAACCTCATCCTCCCCACTTTTTCACTAAGTGTCCGAGTCCAACAATGTTAAATCCACTTCCAAGAAACTTTCCCTGATGCTGCTTAACAGCAACAATTGACTGCAATCTGCTGACATCTACTGGTTAGATTTTACACCCCGGACCTTTAAATGATCAAAGTGTTGCAGTTGCTTTCAGCCAAAGCTGTCGCACAAGGCTAAAATAAATAAATAGCAAAGCTAGTTTCTGTTGCTAACCTTCACAATATTTTGATGCCCATTAGAAATTTGCCATCTTGTACATTTACTGCATGTTTCTTTGTTTGCATGGATGTTTTGGACAGACACTCTTCCTATACAAGGTAAAGGACTGATGGTGCAGCGTGCGGAGAAGTGCCCTTACTGTGACTCCTACTTCCTAAAGAACAGCAGTGACTTTCAGCAGCACATCTGGGCCCATCAAGGTCTGATAACGCTCTGCTCTTTAAAGCTGGCGACACGCACACAGCACAAGTCCTCAGCACATGTGGGCGAGCACCTCTGCACAGAGTTTTACTGTATCATTATTTTTGAAAGCTGAGTTTCCATCTGTCCCTCTTCCTCCTGGCCGTCGTCCAGAAGAATGAAGCAGACTGCAAATACACACGCAGATGTTGTTGAGGGAAATTGGCCCATTAGTCAAGTTACTCTTAAAATGATGAAAACAAAAACAAGCAAAATTGTCCATGTGTGATGCTGGCAAAAGAAACACTTTAATGGCTATTTTTCTTTTGCACTGGTCTCTGCAGCAGGACTTTTTGTTCTGCAGATGTTTTTTTAAGGTGAATGAGATTGCTAAAATTACTTTAAGACTGAAGAATATGTCCCTGCTCGGCTGAAGCTGCTTAATATATACAGCCTGTTCATATCTGCTGTAGAGTACAACATTTTGTCTTGAGGAAGCAAATTGCTGTACTCGCTTGATTTGATAAGTTTTTTCACCTCGCCAGTTTATAAAACAACAATTTTCAAAAAAGTTTATCTGGCTTTATTTTCTTTTTCTTTCTTTCTATTCTAATACTTGGCTGACTCTAATCCATCACCGATGGCTGCACCGTTTCAACAGTCACTCGTAAATACAATTGGCACCAAGTATCCATAAAATATCCACTTTAGGCGCGGATCTCTTAAAAGTTCAGGAGTAAAAACATTTTCCTGCTGAGATTTGCTGTTTATGGCTTAAATATAATTTGATTGCATTTGCAAACGAAGATTTCCATGTTCAAAATGTCTATTTATTTTTTGCTTAATAATTTAATTTATTTGCTTAATAATCTTTTCTGCTGGCAGCTTGTTAAGTGTGTGTTTGTATGTTGTTGTCTGTGTGGGTAGGTTTGAAGCCATACGTCTGCAACGTGTGTGACTATGCAGGTCGCAGTAAAAGCAACCTGAAGACTCACATGAACCGACATAATACGGAGAGACGTCACCTCTGTGATCTGTGTGGGAAAAAGTTCAAATCTAAAGTCACGCTGAAAAGCCACAGACTGAGCCACACAGATGAAGGTATGCACTTTGTTAAAATGACATTATGTATTTCTTTAATATTATAATTTAAAATTAATGATAACTTTGCGTATGCCACAAATGCTCTTAATGACCAGTGATGATAAATGTCACAGTGTTTACTTTGCGTCTGTCCAGGGAAGCGCTTTCAATGTTCAGAGTGCGACTTCACCTCGGTCTCTAAACCTTCCTTACTCAGACACATGGAGCAGCACGCTAAATTTAAGGTCAGATTACATCTAACCTTACCATCCTCAGTTTTATTATTATTTATCTTTTAGCAGAATATAAATAGAGCGACAAACCATCAGGGTCCGTGATTCCATCTCAAATCAACACGGGCCTTTTATGATACAAAGTTTCAACACCTATAATGATTACTGTGAGATTTTAGCGTCATTTATCAAATATCAAAGAAGAAAATATATACTAATAAAAAAAGAGTAGAATAAAGAAATACAGATGACTGAAAATAGTGTAGCAGCCGTAATCCATACACCAAACTCCTTGAACCACAAAACTTTCATGCAAATCTCAAACGGTCGAGCAGAAAATGTTCTAAAAGTTGGTTGATTTTAAATGAAATGACCCATCAGCATTCTGTATTTAAAAAAAAACTTGCTTTAGATATGCTGCAAAATTTTACCCAACAAGAGAAAACTAGAATTAAACAGCAGCACTAACATGTGTTTGTCTCTGTAGCCGTTTCGTTGTGCTCACTGTCACTACTCCTGCAACATTGCTGGCGCTCTGAAGCGGCACTACAATGTGAAGCACCCGGATCAGAGATACGAGAATGCCGGACCCGGATTGCCAAACCCTGACGCCCTGAAACAGCAAGGTCCTAACTCTGCTCTCCCTCCACTATGTCCAGACACCTTGATTATTATTAATTAATATATAATTTCACTGCAGCTAGACATTTGTAAAACATTTGAATACAGCGTTGACATTTGTTTTCTCTTGGCAAGCTCTGGTTACTACATTGTCTGACCTCTGTCGTAGCTGTAATTGTTGTCTGACTTAGAGTATGTAGGGTTTCAAACAAAATGTAATATAGCTCTTTGTGTGTGCTTATGTTTAGGAGGTATGAAGTGTCCCGAATGTGAATTTGTTTATGGCACAAAGTGGGAGCTGAACCGTCACCTGAAGAGCAAACACAGTCTGAAAGTGGTAGAAGGCCCTTGGGAGGTAAACAAATACACAAGATACAATGATAATAAAATAAAGCTAGCTGGGTGTGAACGCTGAAGTGTGTGGACTGGTAGCCTAGAAAGGGTATTCTGTTTATCCGGATGTAGAGTTTACTGTAGAGAAACGGGGCCCGGCGAGCTACTGTAGCTCTTCTGTGTTGTGCCATCTGCTTGATCCAGAAGAGAAGACTAACTGCTGCATTAGTAAGACTCTTTGGTTATTGTTTTGGTATCAGGAATATTGGAACAGATAATTTTCTCTAAAAATCACGTCTCTGTGGCTTCCAAACCCCAAAACATACTACGCCAAAGAACTGGTCTACCCCAAGGATTGGGTCCCCCGGCACAAAGAGAGTAATGTAGTGCAGGTAGTGAAGTACCTGGAGGATTGCTGTGAATTATACATTGGGGAAAACAAACAGCCTCTGGCTAAGAGCTGCTACTTTCACCCAATTTATGCTTCAGCAGGAAATCTACTACGTAACTTGATCTGACACTGAAGAGGTTACTTAAATGAATGAGAAAACATTTCTCCCACATCCAGATGAACAGGATTTCTATACATGAATGATTGAGCATGCATCCAAACATAGAATGAAATTTTATCACTTATTTACCGCTGTCCTGTTTGGCTAAGTAAAGAAGGTAAACATTGTATCCACACCATGTCATCCATACCATGTTAGCACCTTAGTATCACATAGATGTAGAATGTTACCATTGGATTTATTTGTAGTAACTAGAAACTAACTTATTATAATCTCTTCCTTGTGTATGAATACGTAGGTGGGAGAGGAAGTAGAGGCGCAGTATGTGTCTGTGGAGGATGAACAGCACCTGTCAGAGGCAGCATTAGCAACCCTGCAGGACAACGGTAAAACCTTCAAGAAGCATCAACAGCTTCAGGATAACTGAAGCTGTTTTATGTGCTTATAATGTGCGTTTACCTATGTCCTATATAACACTGAATTCATTTAGTGCCTTTTCTGTTCAGTTAACATCCAGCAGATCACTGAGCTCAGTTCAGAGACTCGGGATGCTGTCACCTCCATGGTCGCCATGGCTCCAGGCACTGTAGCTGTTGTACAGCAAGTGAGCGACAAAACATCACCGTGTAAGGAGGTGAGATTTTACAAAATGGCAAAAAGTTTATGTTGAGCTGTGTCTGAAGTTGCAGGTGGCCGACGAGCAGGAAGTCGGTAACTGCGGCAACCAGCTGATGGTGGTAAACACAGAGGGGGCCCTAAATGGTGACCAGGTGATGGTGTTAGAGGAGGGACACAGCCTGGAGGCACTGACAGTCCTTACTCAGGGAGACGACACACACCACTATATTGTCTACGTACAGGAACACACTGTAGAAATCAACTAGTGTTTTGCTACCATTTTACCATAATGTACCAATAAACAGTAAAATATGGATTTAGCAACATTTTCAACACTTAGTTACATAAATTTTTCAGACAGTAATGAAATTAAGTGCAATACGCCTGTGATAATGTGGTATATTTTGTACTAACAAAGTATATTTTAATAAAATCTCTTCCCTTGAATGTGCTTGCTTCATTTCATCAAATTTAATGACAGGCTCATAACATGGTGCAATATACTGTATTAGAAATACCACAAAGCAGACTTCCCAGTAAACACCAGGTAAGAAGAAGGTGGAAGTCAAAACCACAGATACCATTCTAAAATGAAAATAGTACCATGCAAACTGATTCATGTGTGATTTATTCGCACATTTATTTGTCGCTGAACCGCATTAAATATTATTAATTTACCTAGAACGGCTCTAATACAAATGATGTAGTTCCGTCTCAGTCCAATAGATGGCGGTGAAGAGCCTTTTGAGTGCTAACAGTGCATGTTAGTTTGCGCAGAAGAAGATGAACTGGTGGGAAATTTGACGCGAGTGTTTTTCTATTAACCGAAATAGAGCCCAATAAACAAACAGCACTCCTATATTTACTAATATTTACTGGAGATGGACCGGTATGTTTTAGTTATATCTTTTTGCCGAACTGATGACGAGTCGCCGGATGGTTTTAAATGTAAGTTTTCATTTAACTTGGAAACATGTAATACTTCCTCTGCCAGTACCTTAAAAGTGTGCAGACTTAGCCCGTGTTAGCTTTGTAACTGTAAACTTCGTCTGGCTGAGCTCTTAATATCGTCCTGACTTTGTTAACCTTTGTTCGTATACGTTTGTGTTTCACATTTTGTTTGTAATCACGATGGTTATCCGGTCAAAGAATTTGAAGAGTGAACTATGCTAGCAGCTTTTAACAAATTTGCTACTTGTTGTTCTTTTCAGTCTTAAATAAATCAGAAATCTGCTTGTAATGAATCCTGACAGCTCAGTTTTCACTGATCGCAGGTTTGGAGCCACTAAAGCAGATATATGGCAGACTCGTGGACATCTCCACTCAGGAGTCAGAGAAGGTTTCTGTGTTTCCAGGTACAGTAACAGATAGAGCAACTATCTAAGTTATCTATCTATTGGTTCTAGATACTGCACATTAATCACTAATCAGCATCACTGTAAATGTTCAATTTTCAGTGGTCATTTCTTGGCCAGATGCTAAATTGGTCATCAAATCAGTCATAAAGGAACACCGTTTAAACCTATTTACGAATACATGAGGCAAAAATAACATAAGAAGTAGTAGTTTGCAAAATAAAACATATGCAAAGCAAACAGTTTATGTAAGACACTGTTGCATTGTCAGAGCTTCTGTATAGCAAAGTATTCTAGAGTCAAATGTGAATCCATCTATCTGACAGCTGAAGTTTGGCTCAAATTGGCTAATGCAACAGGACAATGATCCCAGGCACAGCATCAAATCTGCTTCCTCAGAATGGTTGAAAAAGAAAAGAATCAAGATGTTGCAGTGGCCCAATCAAAGTTCAGACCTCAGCCTGGCAGAAATCCTGTGGCAAAAACTTAAGAGAGCTGTGCATGAAAAATCAGTGAACTGAAGCAACGTTGTAAATAAGAGTGGTACAAAATTTCTCAACAACCATGTGAGAAAAGATGAAGGTATTGCTATTAAAAGTGGTTCTACAAGTTATTGAATCGTGCGTTGTACTTAGTGTTTTACAGCTGTATATACTTTAGTGTTGTATCAGTGTTAAGACAGACCAAGTTATTTCCCTTCCTTACATCTTTCTCACTGCATGTTTTCCCAGCTTGTTCTCTCAGTGGCAGCCCGTCAGCTCGGAGGTGGTACTTTGCTGTTCAGGCTTGTCACGGAGGTGCACAGGTGAGACACTTGGAAGATTCAAGAGCATAGATATGGCGCCTGTATATACAGCTTTTTTTTATGTGTGATGCTTTAAATTGTCACAAGTTGTCAAAGTCTGCACCAACGTAGCTATTGTGTCATTTCCTTTCTTACTTCTTACTTATTAAATACAATATCAGCTTTACAACAGTTTTATTCATCTTTGCAATGGCAAGTTAGGAATTGGTACAGGATGCCTTTATTAAAACTGCAAAAGCACTTTATGCTTCATACTTAACCACATTGACACACATTTGACAAGGAAACAATGCAGAGTCTTACCTTTCAAACTGTTAAGTTGTGAATAAAGAATTCTGTATTTAGTTTAGTAATTGTCTCTTGTTTGGCAGTTTTGCACCTCTAAATGGGAAGAGTTGAGCCTTCACAGATGTGACGGTGAGGAGGAGAAACCCACTGCTTTGGAAGCTTGTTTGGGTTCTCTGAAGAACCAGGAGGCACCGGACCAAAAGGCTGATGAGCTGACACTGACAGAGTGAGATGATAATAATGATAATGTCTGCAGTTATTGTCCGTAACAGGGATTTGCTCCATCTATCCATTCAAGAATCTGCGTGACAGTGACATGTCAGCTCATCTGTTCTCAACTTTTAACAGGCTGATGGAGGAGGCTGCAGAGGGACTGCATGTGCTGTCAGACAAGCTTCCACCTCCAGGTACTGTTATCCAGTTAACATTGGTTACTTTCTATACTTATATATCTTCCGCTTTATAATTTTTATATAATTTGCTTGCAGTTTTGAAGCTGTTAACTTGGATCTTATGAGGCTTTTACTTAAAAAAATAAAAAATCTAGTTTGAAGATTTTTAATCCACAATGCTTCCACACAGCACTTCTCAGGTGACTTCGATGATTACCTTTAGGGTGCAGTTCGCCACTTCAGTAAAACAAGCCAATCTTCGTTTTTTTTCTTAATGCAGATTCTGCATTAAGAAAAAAAACGAAGATTGGCTTGTTTTACTGATGGGAAAAAAGAACAAGAAGTTTGCTGCACAAAATAATTTCTCATGGGGCGATTGTGTCTTAGCCAAATCAAGGAATTAAAACTTCTTCTCAAAAGAGTGCTGTTGAATTTTAAGCAGTTAGATTCTGAAAATCTGCCTGCTGCAACCTTGTGGAAAAGGTTGCCTGCTGTACTGCATAAATCTGTGTTCACCAATGCTCTGACTTCTTTGCAAATCTCCCTCGTGAAGTGTTTTCTTTTTTGTTTGTTGTTTTTTAAGAGAAGGTTTTTTGGCACACAGTCTCCGCAGGAGTTCAGAAACAGTTACCCTCTAACTTTAGTTACCCTGAGGAGCCAGAGTCACTACAATTCTTGAAATTTGGTTTTGATAACGAGCGATTCTGCCTACTTTTTAAAAGCTCACGACTTTCCTTGATACGTCCTTCCAAGAGATGGATGGATGGAAAGAAAAAATAAATAAATAAAAGAAGGAAACACGGTGTCCTTTTGTTTCCTATGTTTTTCAATCAGGTAAAGCCTTGCTGGATGTTCTGGTGCTGGGCTCTGCTGAGCAGTCCCCTCCTGTTAAAGACCTCCTGCCTCTGCTGGGAGCCGTCAAACACATGTCCTCCTGGCATGCTGCAAAGATCAGTGTCATCACACAGCACACACCTGGGTGAGAAGATAAAAAATACCCATGCATTACACTATATTAGGGGTGGGTTTTGATAATCGATTTATCGATTAAAATCGATTCTGGCTTGGATAACGTGATATCGATTCATTAAAATCCTGAATCGATTTTTTAATATAAATTTATTTTGCCCGAAATGCCAGAATCTCAGGTGAAACCTCACAAAATTTCAACAACCACCAAACAGCTAAAACAGTGAATGAGAGCAGGAACACGGATTCTGCACATAAATGTAAACACAAAGCTCGGACCCGCATCAGAATCAGTGAGATGTCGCCTTTCTCACCGACGGCACGGACACGGTCGGGGCTGAAAGCCGACAGCTCGCTGATTCTGATGTTTCGGCGGTCCGAGTTGTGTTCATTGCCCTTTTTGCGCTTAAAGCTGTTAGTTTTATCTCTCTCCAAACAATATTGACCGAACCAGCAGCAAAAGAAGATCCAAACTACGCTTCACATAGGGCTGCCACAAACGATTATTTTGATAGTCGACTAGTCACCGATTATTTTTGCGATTAGTTGACTAATCAGATCATCATCCATTGGACATAAAACGTACAGCTTATTGCACCAGCAGCATCTGCTCTTATATAACTATCATTAGCTTACAGCTTTAAGTGTTTAAGGTGCTAACTAAAAATAAAGACAAGATGATAGTTTATTAAATTTTAATGAAATTTGCAGATTGTTTCGGTGAAGTTTAATAAACTCCTTGCTATCTAAAATATAACAGGACACCGGAGTATATTCTCCAGCATCTCACACTTCTGATAATCAGCTGTCTGCTTGACGTTTATTCAGCTGTGTAAAAACTATAACTTTAATCTCAGCCAAACCGATTTACTCAGGAACAAATAAAATACTAAAAAAAAAAAAAAGCCAAACAACAACATTTTTAATTATCTAAGTGACTCATATATATTTAACCTGAGTCGCGAAAGACGGCGGTGGGTTTGAAAACAATTTGCCGGGAGTCCGGTGTTCTCACGGCGCTAGTGACCTAGCCCCCGGCTAGCTATCGAGCTAGTGGGTAACAGACGTCTCCGAAAACGTCGGAGGCTTTTGAAAATATGTGGTGTCCTGATAAACTGAGCCGATATTTGAGGTTTACACAGCTACATTCTCGCCTGAAAATATGTTAAACGTTTATTTTGTGACCCAGAAAGAATAATAAGAGTAATATTAAAACTAACTAGCTGCCGCCATTGTTGGAAACTAAGCTGGGCCGCGCTATGAATTCTGGGACACAGCTGCTTCTTCTTCTTCGGGGTTTAACGGCAGCTGGCATCCTTGTACATGCAGTGCTGCCATCTTCTGTTTCAGTCCGTTATTACACTCTTAAATCCTGCTATTATTCCTGCGTCTTTTGCGATCTTACAAAGCTTCAAACGACACGTCGACTATTAAATCAGTCGTCGACGATTTTGATAGTCGACGTAATCGTGACTAGTCGACAAATCGTGGCAGCCCTAGCTTCACATGAACATCGTCATGGACTCCCTCTGACTTTTGCTGTTTTGCTTCCAACACGATAAAATCACACTTCATGCACAGCTCTCTCTCTCTCTCTCTCTCTCTGTACTTCAAGAACAGTTTCCCGTCTAAAAATCTGTTTTCTTCATTATTCGCTTGCTTGTTACGCACAAGTCTACAGTTGTTTACAGCGCTGTCGGCCGCTGTTTTTTTCCTTTTACTCACTTCCAAAAACAAAACCTAATTTCTGCTGTTCAATACTGAACAAATTTAAACTTTTTAAAATTATGCAAAATGCAAAACGCTGCGTGTCTCTAATAAAACCGCTGTAACTTCAGAGGTAATGTTCATATGTTGATTAATGGTTTTCTTTCAGTTTTTGATGACTACTGCAGAATATTTTTATAAAATCCCAGGCCAGGAAAATCACCTTCATGTTTTTCTGTGTTTTATCTTCAGCTACTTTGACACAAAGGCATCTGCTGTGATGCTCACACCTTTGATAAAGTCTGGAAAGTGTCAGCTTCCTTTTTATAGATACAAAAATATGTAAATGTACTGATCTGAATTATAATATTTCTGACTGTCTGAGGCAAAATTTCCCAGATTCAAATCGAATTGAATCGAATCGTGGATCGAATCGATTCAGGACCTTGTGAATTGAATCGAATCGATTCTAGAAATCAGTGACGATACCCAGCCCTGCACATTCCCTCTTACTGAAGAATGCCAAATAGGCCTTCACTTAAACTCTTTAACAGCAATGCAACCTATGAAAAATGGGATTTTTTGTAATGTCCTTTAATTCTTAGATTTTATTTTGTAACTTTGAAATGAGCCTTGTTTTTACTGTAGGAAACTTTTCAAATAGTGCTATTTGTGAACTTAAGAGCTTGAAAAAAAGAAAAGTTTCACCTCTCATCCAAGAGCTTCTTCAGTTCTAAAAACAAAAGGTGGAGAGTCCCAGGGATTTAGGCTACAGCCACACTAGACCGGATAGATTTGAAAACGGCGTTTTTGTCTGAAAACGCTCCGTGTCCACACTAGCGTTTTCAGTCGTTTTCACAGAGTTGTGGGTCCACATTGAAACGGCTGAAAACGCTTACGTTCCAGTACTGCGCATGCGTAAAACGCAAGATGATTCGGCCTGCCTCATTTCTGTCTGCTGTTTATTTACTTTCCGGCTCGTTGAAACGTGTCGGCAAAATGTCGAGGAAAAGCACAGAGTTTTTTAAATGGACTAACAATGAGGTGGAGTTGTCGCTGCGAGTAACACAAAAGTACAAAGTTGCAAAAGCAAGTGAGAATTAAAGAATTTGAAGAAAGCATGTACAAACTGATATTAATCTTTAATAGGGCTGTCAAAATTGAGAGCAAACAAAACAACTGCTGTATAATGCCCTCTGCTATCTTAGTTTAATTTGTCACATGACTGACTAAAATGTGTCATCGTTTTCGAAAGTCTCCGTTTTCGCTGTCCACACTGCGACGCGAAAGCACCATCTTCAAATGTATTCGTTTTTGAGAGCGTTTTCCTTCGGGGAAGAAATTTGCCGTCTCAGTGTGGACGGGAGGCCAAAACGGAGAGAAAACGATGCGTTTTCAAACAAAAACACATTAGTGTGGACGTAGCCTTAATCCCTAGTATGGGCTTTCCCCTTAGAAGGAGGTCGTTGGGACCACTGTTGATTATGTGTGTCATTCCACGAGCCAAGGTGTGACAAAAGGTGTAGGTCATTATCATTACTTGGGGTTAAAGGTGAAATCAGTGTGAGTACATGGCCCATCTTATCATGTGACTTGTTGAGGTCACCTAAAGTGAGGTGTGAGTGGATTGTAGGTGGCAGACAGCTGATGGCCTCTTTCACTCCTCCCAAACCATTGGTCTTCCCAGTCCAGTATGTGAACATTGGCATCATTCAAAGAGTGACATTCATCTTTTAGCTGCAGATGTACCGTCGAGGTGACTCTCCTGTGTTGTGCCATGTGTTTGCGGAGTGGCTGTTTTGGTTTTCTAATGTAGAGGTCTGAGTGCTCCTCACTGCACAGCACAGCGTGCACTCAGACACTCAGTGTCTGAGTTTTTTCCTTGGGATGAACCAGGTTTTGTCTAAGTGTGGCTGGGACTGAAGTGCACTGAGATGCTGGGGTTGGAGAACATTCTCCTGTTTCCTCTAATAAACTTGGTACATAATTGATGACAATGTTGTTCCATCAGTCATCGCCTTTCTCCCTAGTTGATGTCTGATCTTCTTTCCTGTGTATCTTTGGTAATTTGATGAAGGCCCAGTTGGGACAACCACATGTTTTAAGAGCTTTTTTTACGTGTGTCTTCCTTCTCTTTCCATCTGTGCCTTAGAGGGAACATTGGTAGGGTGTGGTGTAGGGTCCTGTTCAACCCAAGTTTGTGTTTCAGTGGGTGATGGGAGTCGATGAGTATGCATGAGAGGGTTTCCAGTGACTTAAAGAAGTCCATTTTTTCCCTTCATTTTTAAGCTCTTTAGACAACCATGACTTGGATGACTGGGAATGTACACAAACCCATTATTAGTGAAATCCTCCTAGCTCACCACTAGGGGGAGTTAGATGGATAAATAAGAGAAGGTGCTGACTTGAAGTAATGGATGGATACACATGGATGAACATTTCTGCAGAAGCACTCTTAATGATAAAAACAACAAATTAACTTTGGCAACATGAAGACAGATAATCTCAGGAGATGCCAGAATGACCTTTTTCACCCCCCAACATAAGGCATCAAAACACCACCTACCTGATAAGAACTAGACATCTTAAATGTGACGGGCTTATTGGTATAACGTGAATGTACGATTAACATTTGCAGAACTGTTGTAGGCAATAAGAAAACATGGGCTTGCATATCGCTGTCTAACAGAGAATAAAAGTTACTCGGGCTCATCAAGCGATTCTTGTTTTCTTCATTCAGATGGCAGAAAATGGCGTCCTCCATCAGCGCCGCTTTGGTCAAGCTGGCTGACTTGGACAGCTGTATTGACTCCAAAGAAATGTGGAGGGGAAGCCTGCTTGTCAGAGAGAAGAAGGTAAGGGTTGCTGGGGTAACTTCTGGAGATGGTGCACATTTTCAGACTAGTGATGTACTCGGATGTGCACAGGACAGTTGTGTGAATTAGCTGAATATTTTAAACAAAAGAACTGAAGAAACAGAGTCGGAGATCTATCCAATCACTGAATAAATATCAAATTGCTGTTATTATCAACTTCTTGAAATTGCAGGACACTGCCTCACCACAGTCAGAATTTGGAAAAGTGAAACTGCTGAAGCTATTTAACAAAACACAGCTCCAAAGAAATTGGTCACAATTCTCGCTTGGTGATCAAAGTTTGAGACGGAAATGGATATGAGCAAAAATTTTAACTTTAATTTACATCACATATTCCATAAACTCCCCAGTAATACAAGTCTTTGGTTAAAAAACTCCCCAAACAAAAAAACTTTGTAATTTTTACTGCAGCAGCTGCATAGCAGGTCTTTATAACTGTGGTGGGCCAAAAGGGCCAGCTTACTATTGAGACGGAGGATTTTAATAAAGATTCTGTGGATGCTGTAAACCTCAGCTGTTTGTCAGTTACAGGAAAGCGGAGACCTCTAGGAAAGTGTGTCTGTGGATGCTGTTTTGCTTACCAAAGAGAGGACTGTGAAGTCTTGTGTCTGTATACACTTGCTTGGATGTAATTGTTCCAAACCTAGCAATGTGGGTGTAATTGATGGTTTCAAAGGAGCAATGAAGGAAAAAAAGCTGTTTGGTAGGTACAGGCTGTTGAGGGAATGAACATCTTTTGTTTTAACCACTGTGTATGTGAGACTTTGTGTGTCTGTGTTTGCAATTTCTGGACAAGTACTGTTGTGGGCCGGAGAAAAAGCCGTGTCCTTTTGAACTTTCCAGCTTGCTTGTCCTGGGCTTTTTATTACGAACACATCTTCCTCTGTCACATCAAACCTCTGCATGTCCTCCTTCACAACATCCATGAACCTCCTCTGAGGGCTTCGTCTTTTCTTTCTGCTGGACAGCTCCATCTCCAGCATCCTTTGTCCAATACATCCACTATCCCTGCTCTGCACAAATGCAAAACATCTCTGCCTCACGTCATGCTGAATGAATCTGGAAAATTACTGGAGGTCATTAAAGGGTCATGGGAAAAGGCACCGTCCTACTGGCATTGACCTGGCAGAGCTGAACTAGCTGGTATCAGTTCAGCCCAGCTTGGCCCACTTTGACCCATTAAACCCCCCTCCTATCAAGTTTTTTTTTTTTTTTTTAATTTTACTGGGGCATGAAGCTTATTGAAGCCAAGTGTTAAAGAAGATCGCTGGAAATAATGAATCAATAAACATAAATTATAGCTTTATGGTGCAGCTTGTCAAGTTTCTTTTGGCTGTCATATTCTTGACAGTTTTCCCTTCTCCTTGTCATGCTCATACAGCAGCCACTTGCTACTCACGAGGTAGGCCCACCATAATGCACACCTTACTTTATGATCCTTTTGACTTTTTAACTGCACCTGTCATTTAACTGAACATCATGTTGTTTCAGAAAGACTTGAAAGTAGCAGCTGAGACCATAAACACATCAGCAAAGTGTTTATGGAGGTCATAAATTGAGTGATATAAAGTGTATAAAGAAGCGACTAGCTGGCCATTAGAAAGAAAGCAGACTGAGATTCGATGGGGAAGAACTTCAACATCAATTTGAACAACTCTGCAGTGCTTTTGTGAAATAGAACAGGTTCCTCCAGTTTGGGCCAATAATCTCATGAATAGCATTTTAAAGAGTGAAGGTTATTGTAGCATCGCATTGATGCTAATTATTCTGAAACGAGGGTTTTACAGTCATGTGGATGTGGTGTTTAGGTGTCCTTATATTTGCTTGTTTCCATGCATTTCCTGCTTTCCTACAAAGTAACTGTTTTGGCGTCAAAGTAACCAGGCTGAGGTGATGTGACAGCATTTTTTTTTTCTGTTCCTACTCTGGAGATTACTTCAGGCACACTTGTTTTTTTGTCTTTAAGTGAGAACTCTGGCAGGTGCAGTAGTTTTCTTTTCTCTGGACCGAATTTGCCAATTTTGTGCTGTTCTTTCATGGCCCTCTGGGGAGAATCAGCAATCTGTTTCACTGTGAGGTTTCCTTGCATGTCTCGTACTGATGGTGTTTTTTTTGTTTGTTTTTTTTATTTATTTTGGAAATCTGGGTGAGACTTTCAGGTCTTATTTTATGATTTTAAACACTGATCGGCTGAAAATATAGATCTTGTCTTTCTTGAAACGGCTCAAAGTAGTGTCTTTGTGTTTTAGTATGTGTGGGATTTTTTGTTTTGTTTTTTTAATATTATAAAATGAAGGTGCAGTGTTGGTGACAGGCACAAGTCTGGTATTTCTGAGATAGGAAATATTTTTAAGAACTAAACTGTATTTTTTTTAGTTTCTATTTTTTTTCATTACTGTATGTTTTTCAGTTTGGACCTTAATGTTGGGAAAACTCTGCTTCTAATCTTTAAGTGAAAATATTAAAAACAGAAAAAACAAAATTGAAAATGGTTTATATAACCTTTATAAAATGACATCTCTCATCTTGAGCCTCTACTATAGACTGTATGTAAAAGCTGGACACGGTCACTGGGCCATCGACCATGCTTCAGTGAAGTTGAGCTGAGCGATTTTGCTGTCACCATCTTGGTATTTTCAAACTGCACGTGACAAGTAAGAGGCAGATCTGAGAATCTGAGGAGCACAACGCAGGCTTGCCCTGAAGAAGCTACTTTATCAGCCTTGTTAACTCTACTGGGGGTCATCTTTCGTAAAGGGAACATTATCTTGTTCACTTTATAAAAGAAAGACATTACCAAGGCTTCAGTCACATGGGCCAAGGGACCCATTGGCGACCCCCTGACAGCCACCGATTGCTATGGAAAAAATATGAATGACCTGACTGGTTTATGAGTGCGAGTGGTTGCTGGAGGATGATGACAGTTGCTAGATGAAAACCGGTTGTAAAGATGTATTAGGCTCTGCACTGAAAACCTTGTGTTTGCTTTCATTGCTACCATTGCCATGGTCATTCATCATTTGCATTCGAAACTCTGCCTTTCGAAACTTGTCGGTGGTAGTGGTAAGGCACAGCTTTCAGTTTAGAGGTGACTGTTCTCTATTTCCTGTGGGAAACCAAGGACATTTGCAATCTCAAGGACATTTTTTTTGGGGGCACCAACTGATTTCATCCAGAATCATACAGCACCCTCCAGGAGCCACTGGCCAAACAGTCATGGAATAAACAATTAAATGAATAACGTTCCTGAGGCGATCACAGAACAACTCTAGGACTGTGTAATGGACTGGAAGTCCCATAACCTTTTATACACCCAGACTTTCAAATTTTTATTTTTTAATTTTTTAAATTGAAACCAGAGGACTTAGAAAGAGTGCAGGTTTGGGGCACTCCTGCATTGTCCTCACTTTTAAGACCGGGAAGCTTTGACTATCTTTTGTGTACAGTCTGTGACCCTAACAGTAAAGTGTATAGACACCGTATGTTAGATTATCAACCAATGTGCTCCAAGTATGGTGCTCTAAGGCAGGCTCGCAGCGTCTCCTTCACTAAAGTGACCTTTTCTGAGTTGCTGCCCTCTGAACGAGTGAGTTCTAGAGACACTCAGTAAAAGCTTCAAGGTTTGGAGAAGCCAAACAAAGGAAAATTCCCAAAAGAATAAACCCTTCTCTGAGAGCAGCCAACACCATTTTACTCCCATTTGATACAGTTATGATGTCTCTATATGTGTTTGTGTACACGTAACTCCAAAGGGCACAGCTATGCCGAGTTATTTTTGAGATATTATTCAGACAAACACTGAAGCTGTAGCATTTGTTAAAATGCACTGATGTCAAACAGTTTGCATTTCTCTGTTGTAGGTTGTACAAATGTTTCTAACTGCATATACACTGACTGTGTCATGTATTATTTTTCTCCTCAGTGTGTGTCAGAACTCCGCTTTGATGGTTTTTCTCTGCATCAGATATCAGAGTCTGGTCTTTTGGAAGCTCAACACATGACCACTGACCACAAACTGCAGTCTGAGGTGAGCTCTGACTCCTAAGTTTCATTGGACCTTTTGTTGAATTGAACTTGAGATGACCTCAAACCAAACTTTGGAAGCAGTTCACAGTTAATCAAAACAAGGCTGTCCTTTGGTGCTCAAGTTTTTGACAGCCAGCTCAGTAATCAGTTAACTATTTTCTCTGGCTTTGTTTTCCAGAAAGTCAAATTAGTCCTTGTTGTGTCCTCCAACAAAGATTTAGTGCCCAGCTTGCGAGCAGCTGCTCACAGCAGCAGTCTTCCACCAGAGTGCTGTAGGGTGTGCACTTGATCCAAACTTTGTCAGTGAGAACGTCTTATATTGAGAATTGTAATGCAGCTTGAGAAAAGACTACTCTCTGTGTGTGTTTGTGCAAACTTCAGGGTAAAGTTTTGGCAGAGCAGATAATAGCCCAGTTTGTATTACTGTAGAGCCAGTCTTGCTTTCAAGCTGTCCAGTAGAACGAACCCCCCACTGTCTATTTCCAAATGAGAAGCGTCACGTCCTATTTGCCCTTTAAACACACTGTGCAACCTGTGACAGATGATCCATCAGTCAGATAAATCAAATGTATTTTATAAGCCAAATTATTGCCAACCTTTTATGTACGTTATGACCTTGCCACAGAAATAAAGATTTATCATCTCATTGAGGCAGGCCAGTGGTGAAGGCTTCTTCCATGGGAAATCTTTTTCCTGCTTTGCAGTCTGATTTTTTTAATATATAAATTGTAGAGTATTTTTAATGGAGTTATATCACTCGGCACTCACTCTCCGGAACTGAGAAGCTGTTACTGAGCTGTCAGCTCATCTCGATGTCTCCATCCACTCTGAGTCTAGCCTCAGTTAATGTCTGTGTGTCAGAACTGTTGATTGTACATGACAGATATGAGTTCATGCCAAAACTTTAAACTGGTATTCACATAAATATCATGTTTGTGTTCTCTGACAATATATTTAACGCAGTGTTTACAGAACTCTTAATTTTATTAATATGCTATCAGTAAATATTAATAAGCCACATGTATAAACTGCAGGCTATATACAACGTCTGCTTCCAGCTCACTGTTATCACAAATGACAAAAAGCTTAGACTTGTTTTTCATATACAGTCGTATATAATAGATAGAAAATAAAACTGGGAATCTTTTGCCATTTTTTTTAGCCTCATTAGCAGCACGCAGCACACTGTGATGGTAAAAATCTCCAGAACTATCTAATGGATTGCCATTTGGTTTAGACATTGCTGGTCTGCTTGGAAAGACCCACTGTGATCCTGCTTTAAATAGCTGGGGGGCTGCACACTCACCGGCCAAAGGTTGCAGACTTGTCAGAAACTCTGCAAAATAATAAGAAAAGAGGAAAATGCAGGCAGAGAGTAGGATATCAGCAGAAGGGATGATTATAAGGGATGTTGATAGGAGTAACTTTTTTCAAATAAATATATACATATGTTTATTCAATGTGGAATCCAGTGTAGTATACCTTTTTAATTTAGGTAGGTAGTCTTGGTTATGACCATATTTGTGAAGCTAATAAAATTCATGCCAGCCTGTGCCATACTGTGTATCAGCCAAATATCACGGATGAGTTTGATTCTCAGTGACCCCGACCTCAAGGACAAGGTCATAGTCAAAAGTGAAAGTCTTGTAAATGCAATAACTTGAGAACGAAGCGGCATAGGAGGTTCAAATTGATACCATAGGTACAGTTCGGTCCATAAATATTTGGATATCAAAAACCTTTTTCTAATGTTGTAATTTTATAATTTTCTGGTAGAGGTTGATCTTGGTTTTGTCTGTCCAAGAATTGTTTTCCAGAACTGTGACGGCATTTTTAGATGTTTTTTCTTTTAGCAATGTCCAATCTAGCGTTTCTATTCTTGAGGCTTATGAGTGGCTTGCAACTTGCAATGAAACCTCTATATTTACTTTTATGCAGTCTTCTCTTTATGCTAGACTAGGATATGGGCACGCCTACCTCCTGGAAAGTGTTGTTCACTCTGTTTGTGCAGTTTACGGATGGCTTGTTTCACCTGCTCCTTCTACTGCATGTTGTCTGTTCACAGCAAAGCCTTCCACCACACCTCAAATCAACCCCCGGCATTTTATCTGATTAATTGATAATGACATAATGAAGGAATTGCCCATATCTGCCCATGAAATAGCCTTTGAGTCAACTGTCCAATTTCATTTGGTCTCTTGTAAAGAGAGGGTGGCACATCTTAAGGAACTAATCCCTTCATCCATTTGTAATGTGGATACCCTCAAATAAACACTGAGAGTCTACGCATTATGTCCATGTCCATAAATGGAATAGGTTTCAATAAAGAGGTAAAAACTTGTCAGTGTCCAAATATATATGGACCTAACTGTATGTCTACAAAAAATCTTGGCCGACAAGTTTTCCGAAAATCTTTTGAATGCAATAACTTGAAAACAGTTATCTTGGATTAACAAATTGATACCACAGATGAATCTACTAAACCTCTCAGACGAGTTTAGAAAACAACAATTTATCATAGTTACATTAATCTACCCGATTTCGTGGTAAGAACAGGTGTGTTTGAAGCTTCCTACTTATACCAAAAAAGTACTTTGGAGTCCAGTATTGCACATAAACTGATCTGTACTGGAACCCGTATGCCAAGAACTGTCATCTACTTCATCACAAGAGAATACTGAAGAAATAAAAGCATTTCTGACGTTTCACTTACAAACAGCCGGGCCTTGTGGGATGAAAACATAAAACATGTCTAAACATTTTCTGGATGTATATGTAATATTTAATAGCTCATCTGGTTAATTACTCTAGGAACTCAGCTTTCAGTGTCATTTTCATGGCATATAAGATAAAAGCTAACATGTTATCGAGTTGAGGAGAAGATTAGTCCCAAAACCCTTTGGTCATAAAGGAATGTCCAACTCTAGTTCTTACTATAATAATGGCAATCACAGAAAGTGGCAGTATTCTCAGTGGTTTATATCTATGATGGTTTTATTATTTCTTATTCCTGGTTCTTACTCAGCCATTTGCCTTTAAATTGATATGGTGGATAAAGTCACTAAGGCTCATACCCCATTAACATCTACTGAGACCTGGGAATGATGTGTTATACAACTTGTATTTACAGGGGATTTGTGCCAGCGCATCGGCCACCAACACCAGTTGTGCCTTTTAGAGTTTTATTTATCTCTAAGAGCAGAACTGTAATGTGATGAACTTTCACTAACATTTAGAATCTGAGGTTGTGGCTTTGGCCAAGTGTGTGTTCTGCTACTTGTTGTCTATAGTTTAAAGAACCACATTTACAGACAGTGTATTCTGTACTAGACATGATGGTATTATATTACATTGTAAAGCTTTGTTGTGAGTTTTCTTATGTAGATTAATAAATGCAATAATGAAAACTCATCGATTAGCTGATAATGTCTATACTTACACAATCGGAGTACCTTTAACATTCATTGGATTAGCAGTAAAGACAGTTTCAAAGTTTTCTGATCTACTCATTAAAGAAAAATAGTCTTGTTTTAATGAGTCTTAACATTATAATATTGCAATACATGTTCTGTGTTATACATGTATAATATCTGTAACCACTGTCTGCTATGTGAGTTTGTGTTTGGCACCAGATACTATGTGTGTTGTTGTGTTCGCTTATTGTTCAGTTTAAGCAGAGTTTGAGAGTTTGTCTGTGCATGCTGCTCATTTATGCGTCTGTGGAGAATGAGAGTGAATGTGTGTGGGTTTCATCAGATCTTTATACAGAGAAGCAGATGGCAGTGATTGTTTTGGCACACAATTAAAAAAAACAGCTCTGAGGACAGCAAAACTATCACATCTCCACACTGCTGGGATAAATGACTGTGCAGCGACTTGTACTCAGACAAACGCACACTAAACTAGGTTCAGACAGAAACTATTAGTTAGACCTCCTCACTGTCAGGAGTAAGTGACATTATAATTACTAGCACTCAGTGAAGGGAGAGGCCACAGAATTGACTTTTCATTTTCTTGATACCAGCCCTCATGTAACTGAAACTATAACATTAAAAACACATTTGAATGAACAGTCAAAAAAGACACGCTTAAAGTGTCGTTGAATGGAAAGGGAGTCCTCTTAGTGGAACATTTTTCCAATTATCATTAACTTTAAAAAATATTGTTGAACAAAATGTAATATTACCGTTATCATAGACTAAAAGGTAGACTTTTTGCCTGCTGTATATTCTGGATGCATCTGGGTAGAGAGCACCAATAATCTAAGTAATTGCAAATCTATTTCACTCATTTCAAACAACATGGAAGTAAATGCACCAAAACCATTTCTATTCTGTAAGTGTATCATCCAGAGAGCTGTACTGTATATCAGGAAAAATGCTATTAGTGAATTTTCTCAGGCATTTCCGTCTGCCCTACAGCATATTAAAATAACAACTTTTAATCTCTTTAAGTGACGTTTTAAAGAGAGCATCAACCCTGTTTGTCAAGACAGGGAAAGGGCTTCACATTGCATTGTCTTTGGGGTTTTAAAGCATTCAAACATTCAGACCTTTAGACTTTGTTCGCTCCCACACAGCTTATCCTGCAGTGGAAGTTGGTTGGTAAGTGGTGGAGACCTCTTTTGAGTTTTTGCCAGTAACAAACAAGCAGGAACACTTGTTGAGGGCTAATGTACTAAAGTTTTACAGTAGACATTTTGCTTTTTGTTACCTCTTCATCTTATTTTACTGATTTGATATATATTTGTTTGTTGTTGAACTTATTGAACCAGCAGGAACATTTGAGAGATTTATTTATATCCAAGAGGTGTTTATGCCATGTCAGCGTATGTCAGGAAACAACCTTATACTTCCTCCTCCCACCACTTTTGAACTGCTTGTTGACAGTCTTTATGCACGGCTGTTAGAATATACGAAAAAGTGGTTACTGATGTGAATACAGTGAGTGGGTGAGTGATATTTTATGGAAAAAAAATCTAATGTTAGAAGTCAGTCACCCAACCACAAAGTCAAACACACGGGGGTTCTACTAGGTATGCCCATATCTAGTCTTTGTTTAAAGGACTGAATATTCTCAAGCTTCCGATGAGGCGTTTTTCTCCGAAGCTGTTGAGAAGTTGTGGGTTGGATAGCGTCTTCCTTTCTCAACAGCACTGCTTGTTTTCCCTGAAGAGCGGAAAAAGCTACATCATTACATTTAGCAGCACCTAGCTGAGAATTTGCATGAATCAGTTTCCCATATGTCTGATAAAGTTGTGGGTTCAGTCACAGCGATTTTATCTCTGTTTTGTCTAAATTGTTGCTAAATATATGATTAGTCATTGTTAGGCAGTGAAGGAGTCTGTGCCTTCACAGAAAACCTGTTATAGCTCAGAGCAGAGCTGTCTAATGAACAATAGAGCTCAGTCAGACAAAATCAGATTTATACGAATGATGTTCAACGTCATATTATGACTGCTGAAGCGTGCAGTCTTAAATTCTTACAAAGTGTGCTTTCAAGTGAACATAATGAGGACAGTTGAATATTGGAGGTCTTAATAATCTCTCTTCAGGTCACTGCGTTAGTCAGAGGCTTCACTGAACTGAACAAGGGATTTATAAATGTTTCCAGCTTTCTTAAGCTCTAATTTTGACCCAAGATCATTTAAATCTTCATGTAGTTTAGACTTAAAAAAGTTTGACATTCAATAAATTATGAGACTGAATTTCACTGGAATTGGCAATCAGGGTTTATAAACAAGAGATGTCGCGTCAGAATTGTGTTCAATGTCAGTCTTTGCACATTAAATCATGACAAAACCTAAAGGTGTATCGAGGCCCCTCCTCACTTCTAGCAAAATATGGCATTGATAGAACAACGGCAGTAGTCAGGTGTTAGTGTTGTTTTTAATGTTTATGATAATCTTGGGGAATTTTGTTTAAGGGTTTTTGTTTTTTATATGAGGGATATGTGATGGGTTAAACCAGAGGTGTCAAACATAAGGCCCGGGTGCCGTAATTGGCCTGGCAACGACTGGACAGCGTTGGAAAATTTAAAGGAGTTGACAGATTTTTATCTTTTAACTGTATTTTCATAGATTTTGGTGCTTTTCCCATTGATAAAGACCTCCACCCCATTTCCAGTCATATTACACCAAAGTACAAGGACATTTTTTGTGAATTAAAGAAAACTTTATACTTTAAATTTATAATTACATGACAGACATTTCTGTGTCCGCAATGATCTACCAGTCGTTTTTCTATATGGTTATCATGTAATTTCACTGGTCTCGCCCACTTCACATCAGAGTGGGCTGTATGTGGCCCACAGTGTAAAACGAGTTTGACATCGCTGATTTAAATGGAGTTGAAGGCTGTACTCTGTGAAAAATATGATCTATTTTAATCATGTTGTCTTTTCTGTTTCTTTTCTTGATTCATTTGCAGGTCTTTCATTACTATGCGCCAGTTTTAGATTTGGTTCAGCTGGTTAATCTGTCAGACCTGCCAAGCTTCCTGATCTCCAGCGCCCAGTTTGAACTGTATCCTTATTTTAAAGTGTCTGTATCTGTGTGTTTGTATGAATGCTTAAAAATAAAAAAAGAATGTCATAACTTTTGCTTCCATCACCTGCTCAAATGAAACAGCTGCAGGATTAGGTAAGATTTTAGTATGTGTCACACACAAACAGCTTGGCTGTCAGAAACCAAAACAGTCATGGCTATTAATATACATTTTTAAAATTGTTGATAACAAAATAGCTCCCCCCCCCCATTATTTCATTGTTTTAAGACTTTTTCTGTCTTTGAAAGGTGGTTTTATAACTTTTGTGCCTCAATATTGTGCTGTTCCTTCACAAATGACAAACAGATGCCTGTCTGGGATGTCTGTGAAAGCTAAACTTTTGTTGAACCAGCTACGATCACTGTGTGGAAAGGTACGAGTAACTTAGCTGTGCTCTTACATGTACAAAAGTCTGCTACAGAAAGATCCGCCTAACCAAAGAAGCCTGTTCATTACATTAAAGCTCTTCCAAGATCACAAATTCAGAATGTTCATGATTAATCATATATATCGATCATAAATGACGTTGGTTGGGGACTGTGTGTATGCCAATCTGCTGTATTTCTGTTTCTAGGTCGGAGCTTTGTTCAGTCTGTCCTGTGTAATCACTCCCATTGCACAGCCTGCAGCCAGCCAACTCAGCTCCCAGCGCTGGAGAGAATCTCTATCTAGGAGACCAAAGTCTTTACCAGGTAAAACTGGAGTGTCACAGTCGCTTTGGCAACAACAGAAAAGAGCTGTCTCTCCTGCAGGAAAGTACATTGGTTAGTGGGACTGTACTGGTATAGGTAATAAAGTTATAAAGTTCTCCATTGGGAAGGCTCTGAAGTGGTGCTGAATAGATATACAAGATAATGCTTGAAACAACAACAGTTTTTGGCAATGATGCACCAAGAAGAAACATTAGGATGAAATAATAGTCATACAAAATGTGAGTTATTTTTCAGTTCTGCAGTGAAGCATAGGGATGGGTATTGATAAGATTTTCACGATTCCGATTCCATTTTCGATTCTGTTTAAAAGAGCAGTTATGTCACCATGAATCTGTGGACGGGTAATATCCATATTTTGATTTATGATTTTCTGGAGTTAAATGGGAACCAAAGCATATTTTCAAAGGTGTTATATGCTATAAAATACTTTTAAAAATTAGGTGAGGGAAATAAAAAATATTTTTTTCTATGTTTGAGTCACAGTAACTTTGACATAGTAACATCTGCAGTAATATTTACAGCTCTGATGACATCTCACCAGTGTTAGCTTTATTTTGACACCAAGACTATTTACACAGAGTTTGTAATTGCAGAGAAATACATTTATTTTGGTCATTTCCTTTTCAAGCAGGAAGCTCACCCTTCTTGGTATACCCTTTAGATGAATACAGAGTTTTTAATTAAATACATATTCTTTAAATAATGTTCCCTTTTAGAAAAAGTAGGATAATAAAAAAAAAAAACAACAACATTTATTATAACTCTGTCACGTAGAAAAAAACTGTGTTTTTCTGTGGTCTGTTATATAACATTAGGGGTGTTCGTGGCAATGAACTTTTTAATCGACTAAGCGGGTCAAGTAAGAAACACTTAAATATTAAGTTACATTTGAAAACTGTTTAAAAAAAAACATATCCCCATTCCACATTCCAAAATGTCATGTGACAATCTGATTGGCTTAGGAGTGATGATGTCACAAGGATGTCACAAGGATGTCACAAGGATGTCACAAGGATGTCACAAGGATGTCACAAGGATCCTTTGAAGTTTTTCTATAAATAGGGGTGAGAAACGGCAATTTTCAGTTCGTTTCTTCGCAGCCTTTGTGTTTGCAGCCTTCAAACGTTCACTACAGAAAAATT